ACCCTTGGTAGACTGCCATGGCATCACAGCTCACAGCAACCTCAAACTCTTGGGCTTAAGCAATTCTCTTGCCTCAGCCTCCCGAGTAGCTGGGAGTACAGGCGCCTGCTACAACACCTGGCTATTTTTTGGTTGCAGTTATCGTTGTTGTTTAGCAGGCCCGGTCCAGGCTCGAACCTGGCAGCTTCATTGTATGTGGCCAGCACCCTCTTCACTGAGCTATGAGCACCAAGCCTCTGTTTTGTTTTTTTTTTTTTGAGACAGAGTCTCCTTATGTCACCCTCAATAGAATGCTGTGGCATCATAGCTCACAGCAACCCCAAACTCTTGGGCTTAAGTGATTCTGTTGCCTCAGCCTCCCAAGTAGCCGGTACTACAGGCACCCACTACAACGCCTGGCTATTTTTCTATTGCAGTGGTCATTGTTGCTTAGCTGGCTTAACTGGCCTGGGCTGGGTTTGAACCCTCCAGCCTTGGTGTATGTGGCTGGTGCCATAACCACTGTGCTATGGGCGCCAAGCCAAGATTAAAATGTTTTGATCTCAATTCTACCATTTCCATATTTTTCCTTCTACCAACAATGTACTCAAAATATAGCTACAAGTCAAATAATTTTCCTAGAACAGAATGAAACTACCACTGTGCCATGATAAAAGTCTAGTCTGCAAATCTGAATCCACAAATACTTGAAACATTTGTGGTTTTGATACCTTCCTTGTGTTTATGCTAAGGTACAAAAGTAAAATCTTTCTAGCTCAATTACTACAGCATGATCTGTTGAACAGGCAAACATATTAAATACTTAAAAGTGAAAGGTACTTTTTCACAAAGGACCATCCTTTTAGCATTTCTTCCTGGGGCCCTGTTGGCACTGTGAATAGTCAAACTAATAAAGCTCAGGTGATAGCTCTTGAGTTCTTCCTCTGACCCCATGATCACAAATTCTAAACAAATTCTAAATTCATGTGGCCTATGAATATAGACCATGCCTTTGGGAATTTTTAGATCAGACTCAGAGAATTTTCAAAAATTACTATATAAAATTGCCTGCAGAGAAAAATATAAAATACACTTTTTCCTACCTCTTTCGATTCCTTTATGTAACAAGCTCCAGCCATTCTTGTCTACCATGTCCACATCAGCTTTGTGACTAACCAGCGTGGTGGCAATACTCTCTAGCCGTCGTGAAAGGGCTAGATCTAATGCAAGATCTCCATTATGATCCACTTCATTCAGCTTCCCAGGGAGCTACACAGATAAGTTTGTAAATTAGCACCTAGTCAGTAAAGAATACAACCTATTTTTTTTTTTTT